CTGAACATGACCAGCAGAGTACCTTTAGCCTGTGGGAAAGAAAGTGAATTAACACTTACACAGTAGTAAATCAGGTGAAAGGTAACCAAAGCCAGTCTGGAGGGAGACATAGACATGGGTTCCGAGCAGGACACTGGGAAGGAGCATCCAGGGGCAGGGCTAACATTTACATTCACTGTGAAGATGGGATGAACATCTATGACTCAGCTTCCCAAAAGACCATACAGTGTACGGTTACTCTTGAAGGACTACCCTATTGCATCTCTGATCTAAATCCCATCTGAAGGAGGCAGCAGCATCTGTGACTGACAGGGCCTACACCTATGGCGTGATCACCCACTGGTATTAAAGACATCTGGGATCCTTGCAAGGAGCACGAGAGTCAGAGTGGAGCCAGCACAGGCTCTGTCTCAGCTCTCTTTCTACAATGAGATTAAGTGACACTAGCAAATAGAAACAAAAAGGACTATCACTTATTTAGAAAGTTCTAAAATTCTAATTAATTCTCATAAAATGTGTATCAGGACTGAGGAGTTTGAATTTTACTTATGCTTGGTCATGTTCCCTCTTGAGAGGTTGTCTCTCATCTAGCTATCTACTTCTGAACTCAGCTGAGCAACTTCTTACAGGTCCCTACTGGTCCCATCCAGCAGCGTGCTTCTTAATCTCTTCCCCATCAGCAACTTATTTAATATTCACTATGCACAGGCTGCTATGCAGCTTTCTTTATTCTTATTCAATTTCTTTATTCTTATTGGCATTCTTACTCTAGAAAGAATAACTGTTTTAGACATAAAATCCAAGCTCACTGAAAATAAAACGTATACATGTATACATATGTATATATATGCTGTGTATGTGTGTATGCATATGTGTGTATGTGTGCACACATATGGGTGCATGTGTGTGTTTATGCACATGTGTGCATGTGTGTGTGTGTGCATGCATGTGTGTGTGTGTGCATGCGTGTGTGTGTGTGTATCATGTAGCATATACAGAAGTACCCATTTTCCATCTTGCTTCTCGGGCATTTATTATAACAATAGTGCAAATGATTAGAAGGAAAACTATCCATAAGCAAGAAAGCAGTGAGAATAACAGGTTACAAATAGTTCAAAACACATTTTTTTCTGATCGTTCTTATTTTTACCTAATATTGCTGGTAAGCTACTTGGGTTTGGTATCTTTTGAAACTTCACATGTTTAAGCTAATAAAATAGGTGACATTCAAGTCAAGTTCAAATTCTTGAAGAAGGTAAATTACATGATGTCTAAGATTCTTCTCTAAGTTTAAGCTTTCAAAAGTCTTTGCAAGGTTTGATCAATAAAGCATGCATACCACATATCATAAAGTACAGAAGATAATTGTTGAGTCACACAAATAAAACTGTAGAATGTAAAAATTATGTGGGCCAGTTTTAGTGTCACAGGTCTTTAATCCTCACAGGGGGATCTCTGTGAGTTCAAGTCCAGCCTAATCTACATAGGAAGTTCTAGTCTGGCAAAAACAAAATAGTGAGACTTGTCTCAAAAAATTATCTTAAAGTAGAAATTTCACTACAATATCTCAAAATTAATGTTAGATGACTTATCTGTTCACAATGATTAATTCTATGTGTGGTTTTTGTTTTAGTTTTTGATTTATGAAATAAAACTAGTTTGATCTGATTGTGAAGGATACCAATTACCTAGAAGGAGGAAGGTATGGTTTGAATTATATAAATATATAGATGAACCACTCAAGAAAACAACATGTCTTATTAGGGTTTTTGTATAAACAACTTAGGAATATAAACTGAAGATCAAGAGCAGCTACTCCTTACCGTATGGGCATTAGACACCAGCTGAGGGCTCAGTTGTCTTTGGAAAGGAAGCTGGGTGCAGAGAACAGACAGAGAAAGAGGATACATTGTCTTCAGATTCTTTGGATGCCTTCAGCGAGACCATGTGGTAGAAGCAAGGGTGTCAGGAGGATGATGTGCCAGGTAAAGGTGTGATGTTGAGAGCAAGGATGCTTTAATACAAAGGAGTTCAAAGTCCATGCGATCATGGGCACTGAGACTGAAGGGATTTGGTTCCATACCATTTACTTCCAAAAAGAAATGAGAATAACCAGCCATGAGCTCATTGACATAAGCAATGCCAGAGCCTCAGACTTGTATTGTTACAGGACATAGACCAACTATATGTTCCTGATTTCCAGTAGAAAAGAATTTAATGTAAAAGAACAGAATTGTATTTAGGGTGGGAATGAAAAGAGAAAAAGACAAAAGGGAGCTGTAGACATCTGCAGGTGTGTCATGGACAGAACCTGTTAAACCACATCACAAGCAAGGCTTAATATTTACATATCAAAAATCAATAAATACTTCTGATGTAGATATGTTTCTGACCCTAAGAATAGCAAAAAAAAGATTTATATTAAATCAGTAATTATTAATGTAAATCTCTGTAACAAATAGTAGAAAATCTTCAGCAAGGAAAGATAGCCAATTTCATTAGGTCCTTCCCCCAAATTCTAGAGATTCAAATCAGCTAAGTACAAGAAAAAGAACACAATCATGTAAAATTGCCAGCAACACACTGAAGTGTGTTTTTCTTGGAAACAAACTAAAATTACTTAGGAAAACTCTAATTGTGTTAATTTTTGCTTATTTTCAAATTTTAAAGTTTTGATAATTTACAGTCTTATGTAAAGATGAAAATCTAAGAAATGTTACATTTCCTGAAAGCAGATAACACCCGATATAAGCCTGGAGTTTTTGAACTGGTATGCATATATTAATGTCCTTTCATGCTTATAAATTTATCTTTTAAAAAAATCTATTGTCTGCCTTGTGGGTGTGGAAACCAAGGCACAAGGAAATACATAGATAAGAAGAAGAACACTTAATTCCTATTTGAACATTGTGTCTCCAGGTATGTAATGGCCACACTGTATTTCATCTAGATCCTGGACATCCAAAGAACAAACTAGATTCTGAGAATCATGCGATACTGTGACAGAGCTCCAAAAAGAGGGGACAAGAGACAGGGAGAAACATAAGTGGAAGAAAGATCAAGGTGTGGCCTTAGTTGGAGTTATAGTTTGGAGCAGACTCAGATGTAGAAGCTTCAGGGTAGCTTGACAAAGGAAAGTGAGCCAGGTAATCTGGAGAAGAGAGAGCTCCCCCTACATTGGTGATGCTGGTCCACCCTTCTCCAGGCTGAAGTCCTCCTTAGATGAGAAAATCACTAGCTGAAAACTGGGTGCCTGAGTGAGGGGTGTCATGCTAGTTGACATGAGGACCTAAGTCCTGCCATGCTGGGGTATGCAATTAAAAGAGAATGAGGAGCAGGATCTGAGGCAGGATAGATGGCTCGGTGGATAATAACGCATCCTGTACAATATGAGGGATTGAGTTCAAATCTCTAGCCCCTGCTTTCTGAAAAGAAAAGCATGGTTGCACTGAGCAGCTGAGATAGAGTAGGACATCTCATTGGCCAGCCAGTCTAGCTGAAATCCAAAGGTTCTAGTCAGTGAGACCTTATCTCAAGGCAGTAAGGCAAGCAGCCATATAGAAGAAATCCAGTGTCCTTCTCTAGCCTCCAAATGCACAGGCACCTATACCTGTACACTCAAATGCATGCACACATTCCAGCACACACACATGCATTCATACATGTGTATGGGAAAACATGTACCATACACGTTACACACACATACACACTCATGCACACACATACTCACATACATACACACTCACATACATACACACAGACATGCAACACACACATGCACACATACACACAAGCATACACACACACATATATACAACACACATTCATGCACATACACACACACATGCATATACACACACATACATACACACATACTCATGTACATACACACACTCATACACATACACACACTTGTACATACGTACACACACACACACACACATACACTGACTCAGCATACAGCACAAACAGAAATGCTAACACCTTTCCATGGCCTGGAACCTCTACAGGTTGCTGACTAGTCTCCCTCAGTTCCACCTTTGTAGAGTATTGGCTTACAGATACTTTGTAAGTCTCCTGGATAAGCATCTTAATGATTTTGTTGAATTTGAAAGACCTGGCATCATGGAAAACACTATGGGTCTTAAGTCCGATATTGACAAAAATGTCAATTTTGCTTTGACAAAATGTAGTATATTGTCATGAATGTGGTGAGACCTTGAATTCTCAAGGACAGGTACCATCATCACTGGGCAGCATCACCATCAGCTGCCCTCACTATTCTCATCCCAGCATCAGCTGCCCTCACTATTAACATTCAAGCTTCTCCTTAAGAAGCTGAGGGACAGAAGGAGAGTCAGCAAGGGGAAGAAAACAAACAGAAGACTAGAGCAGAATGAAGGCTTGGAACTAGTGATTAGCCATGCCAGCCTAATCGGGTCAGAGGACTCCCTCAGACAAAATAAGGTATTCCAGTCACAGGCTCATTAGAATTTAGAGTGCTTAATTTCCTCCTTAGCTGTAAGTGGCTACAAAGGCAGAACTAATGCAGGTCCCAGTAAAATAGAACGATCCTTCAATTTTATTTTGAAAACTCCTAAAGTTTTGAATATTTAATACATTTTTGAAAATTTTATAATTTGTTGTATAAGATAAAATTATCGTGGGGTACTTAAAGAACTGATCAAATTTTAATGACCAAAATCTAGATGGGTTTAGAAATTCTGGCTCAGTTTTTCAAGCCAAATTGTAGAAAACAAAGATTGCTTTGGAAAACATGAGAATTATTTATTAGTGACTATTGCAGCTCATCTGTCGAAAGCTTGTCCTTTGAGGCTTAATTGTGAATAACTGGCTTCCAGAGCAGCTAGAATGCTGATTAATTAATTCACCTATCTGTTACTCCACGATCAAATGACTATAATGACATAAATAAGCAACATTAACAGTGGAATTCAGGGTAAACACTTCTAAGCAACTGCAAAGACCAAATTGCTCACCATATGGCACTTCCAGTGGATGCCCTGTCACATCACACCACCCGATGGGGTGGATGTCCTGGCTGTCGGCATCTATCCAATAGTCATACTTATGGTCCCAGCCATCGAAATGAATCTGTAAAGAAAAAAATGGTATTGAGGAATTATGGTATTGCAATTGCTATATCACTATGCCTTCATTAAAATATTTGAAAACAAATATCTGAAGGTGAAATTGAAATGGCATGTATCATACCTTGAAGCTGAAAAAAAAAAACATCTTAAATGTGCTATCATAGAGCTTTCTAAGAAAGCCAAAAAAAAAAAGGCTCCTGGAACATATTGTCGAATAAATTAAAGGGGAAAATGAAATTTTATCAGATGTTGGCTAAAACTGGGAGGAGTAAGGCCAATGTGTTTCCTCAGCTAAGATGATTCTAGAGTGGTAAACAGGGCCACTTCTTATCCCAGCAACTGCTCTGTAGACACCACAAACATTATGTCATGGTCATTGAAATATCATTTATCAAGTTGACCCCAGTATGAGCCCATTTCTGATGAAAGGGGTGTGAATCAGAGCACAGAGGAGCCATCCTTCCTAAATCCTCACACATGAGCAGAGACTCAAATATAATGGAGGTACATAGAGAAGACAGAAATTCCTGGGGCCAGGAAAACAGCTCAGGAGTACAATGCTTGCCTAGCAAGTACGAGCCCTAAGTTCAGTTCCCAGTGCACATACAGGATATTACTGGATAGATAATATGTGCACTGGAACTCTTGTGATAGGGCAGAATAGTCCAGAAGCCCACTTGGTATACAGGCTTATGATCATTTTATATTTTGTTAATTAAGCACTGAGACATGTACACATACATACACATACATATACACACACACACATGCACACAAATGCACATGTACATTCACATATACATGCTGCCACATATCCTAATTATACATACAAGAAATTAAAGTTCTAACAATTTATGAAATAAAAATTACATATTTATTTCTTGAATATACAAAACTATGTTGTAAAACATGTTGTGAGGTTGACAAAGTAAATTTTGTATAAAGTAAAACAACAAATAATTCTACTATTCTATGTGTTTTTGGTTTGTATTGCGAATTAAATAGCAACTATATCATTTTTAAGGTAACATTGTTACGCATGCCAGGTATGGTGATACATGCTTATCAACTCAGCTACTACAGAGGCTAAGATAGAAGAAGCCCAAGTTCATGATCAGCTTGGGCTGCAAAGGGAGTTCATGGGTGGCCTGGGCAATATAGTGAGACTCTGCTTTAAAATAAAAGCTGAGAGAGACAGAGAGAGAAGAGGGAGACAAGTTATAACTCAATGTCCAGTGGTATAATGGTTGAGCCTGTCCTTGTCATGTGTGAAGCCCTGGATCCTCAATACTGAAAAAAAAAGAAAAGAAACAATGAATAGACTAGAGATCTAGAATCACACACACAAAAAATCGAGAAACATAAAATTGATCATATTCATGTGTGTCTGATATGTATGTATGTATGTGTGTATGTACATAGGTATATAGTGAGCCCCAATACTTTTCCTCAAGACTTATTTCTAAGTAAGTGTTTTTCAAAGTGTGGTTTCCAGATCAGTGGCATCAGTACCATATGAGCATGTGTTAGACAGATTCCAGGATCCCCCTTAATTCTCTGAACAGGAAACTTTAACGCGTAGGACCTAGGTATATGTAAGGTGTTCCTTCCAGATGTATCAAATTGATGCTGTGGCTTAAAAAAACAATGATTGAGGAACATTTGGAAGATATATTCTTGTCCGTGTGTATGGGTGTACATGCTCATCTGTGTGTAGTCAAGATTTTGCAGATGGGGAAACATGCTTATATACATATTCACATAGGCATTAGAAATTAATGTCTGGTATTTTCTTCTATTGCTCTCCATTTGCTTCATGAGATGTGACTCTTACTGATACTGGCACTCACTCACTCAGCTAGAACAGCTAGCCAACAAGTGCAGGGATTCTCCTGGCTTCACCTCCCCAGGGCGAGCATTGCAGACACACACTTCTGATCTTTGCTTTTCATGAGGGTATTGAGGATTGAACTTAGGTCCTCATGATTTTGTGGCAATAAGTTTATCACCTAGTCATCTCCCTAGCTTAGAAGACTGCATTTCTACCAGACCTGGCCTTCTGGCCATTACAGAGTGACCTGACATGCAAAAACTACACAATGACTGGGTTTTGCTGTGTTGCATTTACTATATAGTTTTTTTTTTTTTTTTGGTTTCTGGGACAGGGTCTTAGAATACATAGGATGTCCTTAAACTCTCTATACATCCGAGGTTGGCCTCGAATACCACACCTACATCTTAGCCTCCAAGGTGCCATAGCCAAATTAAAAATGGAATACCTATGTATAGGAAGGCATTCCAGATGAGCCCTTAATGTCTTCTTGAAGAAATTTTGCTACTTGTAATCTAAGTCAGAGTGAAATTTAGCACAGCAGTCATCCTGTGCTGAGGACACACTGGCAGCAGTTCAGAGTTGGAAAAGCAGCAGGAAGTTGAAGGGCACAATGGGGGAAAGAAACAGCCACAAAAATAAAAAGGTTTTAGGGGATGCTGACAAGACCTTGGTCGAATGAGAGTCAACATACTTGTAGTTTGAGAAGTCAAAATACCATGCAAAGCCCATGGGAAACTAAAACATGGGAGGTCACATTTTGCTTTGAGTGCAGAGACCAGGGGGACTGTCTTTAATCACATCTTCATAGTTGGATGGAGCCACTAAAGCTGCAATACTTGGAAAGAGACATCAAGAGTGCTACTCCAGACCAACTGTTTGAACAGGCTAAAGCCAAGAACCAATGTGTAAAAGAATTGTAAGTAGCTAGCTGCCTGATAATGCCTTTGTTTTAAAGAATAACCCCAGTGCACACCTGATCACTCCTGGAATCCAGGATACAGAGTCATTATTAGACATACATGTAAACAGATGAACATAAGACAATAATCAGTGTTTAAAGAAGTATCCAGTAGACACAAACTCAGATGACCCAGGTCTCGTAATTAACAGACAAGAACTTTACAGTATCTGTTAAAATATTTTCACAAAAAGTAGTCTTAATAAACACACAGAGAATCTCAGCCTAGAAAGTGTAAAGATGAATCAACAGAAAGTTCGAGAACTCAATGCAAAATCTTTGAGGTCAAAACATTGCACAATGAACAGCCTATGAGAAGAGGCAGGAAAGAAGACAAATAACTGTGAACAAAAGTGCATAGAAAGTACAAACTGAGGAACAGATAGTCCGGGCTTACATGTTGAATACTGCCCTGGAGACTTGCCAGGTAAGATCAAGTCTAAGCTGCTGAAGGAAAGGACTGAGAGAAATATTAGGAAAATAGTCACAACCAAGGCAACCCAGAGGGTGTGGTAAAATTCTCTCTACTTTGACTCAAACACCCCATTACGAATTTTAAAAGAATGGGAAAGCTCAAACTCAATAAACAAGAGGGAAATAAGGGCTATGAAAATCATGGAAGGACCGGACAGTTGGCCAACTTCACACCAGAAACAGGGAGCCACAAGACAAGGCAAACGTCTGCCAACTGGGAATTTTACATTCTACATCAATACCCTTCAAAGACGGAAATGAAGACACGACAATCAAAAGCAGAAAAGTAATAAGCTACAGATTTTTGGTACAAGAAATGTGAAACAAGGCATTTTAGGTTGGTGGGAAATGCCAACCAATGATAACACTTCAGAGGAGTGATGGAGAGGAAGGATGTAGAGGACAGGCAAGGTGAGGGCCACACAATGATCGTGCCCAGTCACTACACAGCAGATCAAAGCAGAAGAATCACATAGTCATCAACACTAAAAGAAAACATATTTCATGAAATTCCATGCACTCTCACAGACACCCTTGATTTGTAGGCAGAGAATGGGCTCCCTCCGCTCAACAAGGAGAAGAAGGTATTTGTAAGAAACCAATAGCCAGGGCCATATTAAATTTTATTTTTGAGTACTTCACACATTAATAAAACAACAGTATGAAGGCAAAATAATAAATACAATTGCATTATTCACACATGATAATTTTTTCCTGTAGAAAATATAAGATTGATAAAAAAATAATAAGAATTTAGCAATTTAGTTCATGATTAAAGAGCGACATGAAGTAATTATTTTCCTACATTCTGACAACAAACTGTGAAAAAAATTGAACAATCTATTTGGAATAGCATTTCTTTTAAAAATGAAAGGCACAGGTATGGTGGTGTAGAGCTATAATTCTACAATTCAGGCAGAGGAGGCGGGAGGATTGAGAGTTATAAGCCAGCCTGAGCTAAACTGCAAGGCCCTGTATGTCATACCCATCCCATACTGCCCAAAGGACCTCTTCACAAAGCATGTACATAACAAAAAAGGAAAGACCTCCATGCTCTAAGAACATTGCTGAGGCAAATTCAGTACGGCACACATCAATAGAGAGCATAATTACGCCCAGAAGACTACAAAACGTGAGAGGTTGTAGATGTTATTTCTCCCATAATGCTCTATAAATTTAGCAAACCTCGCTGAAAACAGGAGTTCAGCACTTGTAAAGCCAAGGAGGAAGCAGAGTAGTGACTTTGAGGTCAGCCTGCCTCCATAGCAGCTTCCAAACTAGACAGACCTATGAAGGGACAACCTTGCCACAAAAGTATACAATAAGGCAGAAGACATCAGGGTTTCCTTTAGTATCACTGAGACGCGCACTGGGAGACTGCACAGAAAGCAAAATGATGCAGCATGTCCTGAATAATTTTGAAAAGAATGGCAAAGTTAAAAGATTCATGCCTGACTTCTAGTTTAATAACAGAACACAGAACAGAATAATGGGGACACACACACACATACATACATACATACATACATACATACATACATACACACATAGATATAAATAATTTTAAAATAATATATCAAGGAGTATTTGATGAAGAAAAGACAGCTTTTCAACAATGTCCCTGGAGCAGCTATTTTGACAGCCACACTTAAAAGAAAACTAAATCTATCTTACAGTCCACACGCTACATACAAGTTAAACTGACCTTACAGGCCACATATACATGAATCTGAAG